TACTACTACTACTACTACTACAAGGGGTGACAAAACTACTACTACTACTACTACTACTACTACTACTACTACTACTACTAGTACTAGTACTAGTACTAGTACTAAGATACCCAAACAGCCCAGTTCTGATCATTATAAGAACCCAGTAGCTCAGCCTGTGCACGCGGCTGAGTTCCTTTGACGACCTCGGGAAGACAGAACTCCCTTTGTGTCACACTTGCCATGTTCGGCAGGCCAGGACTTCTTGTGGGAGTTGCAGACGGACGATACAGAGCAAGTTTGTTTGTAGTTGCCTTGTGTAGATGCGACAGGAGTTTCGGACAGAGCACTGTAACTCGTGCAACAGGCATCTCGGCAGCATGCATTGTCACATGATCACACATGGAACTGGCCGACTAAATGCCACTGGGACTCGGGCTTCTGCCATGGCCAGAGGAAGGCCCAAGTTGATACCCAGCATCCTCGTGATCCTCGTGCCTGAGGTGCGTCGCTGGTTTCGATCATCATTGCATTTGGCTCAATAACTGCAACTTGCCATGCAAGATTTGTCCCCTCATCGAAACCCTGCCAGTAAGCAGGGCAGGATGAGGTGCCGATGGGGGCAGTCACAGCCAGTGGATGAAGGCGGCACCTGTCTGCGATCTACACAACTCGCAAAAGGTCCGAAAACCGGAAATCAGATCCCAGCCTCTCCCAGTTAAGGTATTGGCGATGCAAACTATGGAAGCTTCTGGACCGCTATGGTCTCGGCAACTCTTTTTCTAGGCCCGGGTGCTGACTATGTTAGTTGCTTTTGGCAGTGTTTAGACTTAGACTCTGTTTAGACGAATCTCCTTTGCCGGGTGCCACTGGCAACATCCTGCTGTTTTGAGCCCGGCCAACCTTGCAGTCATCATGTGCGTGAGCGGGATTGTGTTGATCGTGGTGGTCATCCTGTATGGCTGCCCAAAGGAGCGGGCACGTTTGCAAAGATGGATCCTTTCCACAACAACTGTAGCGCAGCAGCTTTTGCATCACCAACCACCGATTTCGATTTGTGCTGCGTCCTGTTTGGTGTGGTTGACTGGGAGGAGCTGCTGTTGCCGGCGCTTGGCTTCTTATTGTGCCGTGGACTGCATTTTTTTTCCGAGACGAGAGCTTGAAACCTTGGCACGCATTATCCTTGTTGAACTAAGGCTCTTAAACATAGCATTGCTCGTGCCCATCTTCACATTGCTGATTTTTCATCTGGCTCTGGTCAACAATCGGCTGACGACGCTGGAGTACATCATGGCCGGAGTTGCAGACAAGACGAGAGCATGCAAGCGTGTCATTGGTCCGAGTTTGTGTATATATCATTCAGAATCAGTCGCATGGTTCACGAGAGAGTGAGCGTACCAGTGCGGATGCCAGCCCTCCACTCCTGCCCTGCCCTTCTGCCCCGGCCACCCCTACAGGCGCACTTGGACTACGACAGGCCTCAGCAAAGCTGGTTGACTGAGCTTGCGACACGAAGTACGAAGAGACGCATATATGTTGAGGGATTGCGTTAGACAGCACGACTTGGAGCATGCACCCGTCAGGGCTTGGCACGGTCATGCCAGACATGAAGACGTGAATGGCTGTCACAGCACATGCAGCCAGGGCCCTGGACGGCGGCAAAAACCCACCGCTCCGCCCAGAAGCCGGGCAGTGACTTAATGATTTCCCTGCTCGCAGTTGCTTTTTCGTTGGTCATGGCAGTTGCAGTTGCGGTGCTGCGCTCATCCTCGTAGCCGCAGCACTTGCATAGGTGCAGGTGTAGTAGTAGTACTATTAGTACTAGTAGTACTAGTAGTACTAGTAGTACTAGTAGTACTAGCAGTACTAGTAGTAGTAGTAGTAGTCGTCGTCGTCGTCGTCGTCGTCGTAGTGGTGGACGTGGAAGTAGAAGTGTCTTCGTCACAGTCGACGTCGTGGTGGTAGCGGTGGAGGTGGCAGTGGTAGTCTCGTGACGGATGGCGTTGTACAACATTTGCTGTTTGCAATCGAAGTTGTTCGGGGCGTTTACTTAGACTAGGGATTGCCGCTGGCTAAGTATGTTACATCCCCGACCCCATCTACACTGTTTCCCCCTGGAAGAATCAAAGCCTAACATTTCATGGGCCCGACAGGAAAAGCACACTGAGGTCTGATCAGGAAGTTATAAGTTGCCAAGCCCTCGCAGATGGCATATAGTGGCACAGACCTTACACAAGCCAGAAGCCATCATGCAGCACCATCATGTGCGATGCTTACTCCGATGACAGCCAGAATCGAAGGAATGGTGTCGCAAGCAGCAACAGCAACAGCCGCAGCAACAACAAAAACACAATCGAAATTCTAGGATTTGCTTGAAGAAGCTGCGTGATACTTGCGCTTGCATGAGTCGAAAAGCCCAGGATGGCACTCATTTTCGACCATTCCCCAGATGTCAGCTGCTGAGTAGTTCGCCGGGCTTCGCAATCGCTCAGGGATGTCGGGCGAAGCATGCATGATTTTCTCCAGCTTTTGAGGTGTTGACTGGGTCGTGTTCAGGCCGCGACGCCGGCGCAAGGCACGATGGGAACAACCCCTGTTAGCCTATGCAGAAAAAGCGGAAGTTCCGGATTAGAATCCGCTTCTCCATCCTCGTCTCAGACTCCATGTGCCATCCCCTCGGGACTTGCAAGGTCAATCCAGCACTTCGTCCCGTGCCTCTGCGGCAACCAAGCACAGCAAAGCAAAGGGGAAGTGCTACCCCTCAACTCGGGAGCCCTTGAATTTCGTCAGTTCCGTAGTGATGGCCACCGCAAGGGCAAGATCGCGCCTGCTCCACCTCAGCCTCAGCCAAGCCCCAAGGTGCAAAGTGCATCAGCTTGGTCTGGCTTTCGTTCGGGGTGCTTGCAACATACTTGTCCAAGGAAAAGGAATTGGGTAGGGTTCACACTTTCGGGCTGGGGTGACTGCACCAGCAGGATGAAGCAAATCTGTTTACGAGCTCACCGCCCCGAGATTCCTCAACGCAACAGCAAAGACACCGACGCATTGCTCGATTCTTGCCAGGAGAAACCTCCTCCAACTGAGACCATCGCGGCCCCGCCAGAGGACTCTTGGTGATCTGGGCCATGAAGCAGGGACATACAGGCTCACCCCATCGGCATGAGAAGGCATGGCCTTGGATCATTAAGACAGTCTCCAACAAGAACTTTGAGGATTGCAAAGTGGCCGAATCCGGTCACTGAGATAAAACACTTGTGCGATGGCTGTGCATTCTACAAAACTCACCAAAAGGTGGTTGCCCAGCTTTAGATACACATACACACACACACACACACGCACACACACGAACAGAAACACATCTTCTTGCAATTGCCTGGAGGAGGGATGCCCAACTCCGACGACCCGGCAGGGCACGACAGAGGATGCAAGGGAACCCAGCTTTCGTGCCGAATCAAAGTCACACCGTAAGACACGCATGGAGGGTGATCGCTTGTGCTTGTGTCCTCATACTTGTGACCTTGAGCCCAGGCGTCGCAGTTGTATACCCTTCACTTCAAAGGAAACTTCGCTTTAACTTGAGCGACGGGAAAGTTGCGAGCCCAAGTGTTTCCGACAGCACTTCAGCACTACGATTAACTCCCTCGACTCGCGAGTTTGCCAAACAACCTCGAGCCATCTTCCAGAGTGGCTGTGTCACCAGTTAGGCGTAGGATGTGCACTCGGCAAAGCCGCGCTTGCACTGAATTAGCTGCAAATCTGGATGGTTCCCAAATGAGTCGGAAAAAGAAGTCAGCAGACGAGCACCGCAGTTGGAACATGTCGTTTTCTCCGTCGGTTGACCTTCTGACAGAGGACGCCTTCTACAGCCTGCTGCCCTTCTGATCTTCGAGGCGATCCTCCCAGCCTTTGCTACCGGGACTTCGAGGGTTTCCCGGAAAGGGCGGCCCAAGAATCCATCCTCGACTTTAAGCGCTCCTTGATCTGAACTGAATGATGTGGAGAGGCCCACTTCAGGCATGGAAAGCATCTCGGAAGTGCTGCACATCTCCGCTGTGTTGATTCGTTATGCTTCTGAAGCCGTCTCGGCTCCCCGTGCAAAGGAAAGCTGTGTGGGGTCATCTCCCCAGGCTTTCCTCAGCATGACGGCGGCCGTGGAGAAGAGAGCCACGGCAGAATTGCGCAAGCAGTTGCATCTCAACAACAGGTGGAACCTGAAAGCCTCTGATGCTGACCAAAGGCTCGACTGATGCCGCCGCGCGCAGCGTCCAGAAGGACCGGGCATGAGTGAACAGGATCGAGGAAGAGTTGACTGACATTCAGCGGGAACTCCCCTGGCGGGATGACGGGTGTCGCGGAGTTATGACTGCGCCGCCAGCCTCTTTCGTGCCTTCCAGTGATTAGGGTCCACTAGAGCCTTCGGGGGTCTTCAGGCGATGAGCTTCGTGGAGGAACCTTTGGACATCTTGCAACCTCGTCTGAACCATAAAAAGCATCAGCTGACTGAGGGTGGTTCGTGGGTTTTCGTGAGGAAGGGTTGTGGAAAGGGCACTGAGCTCCGCCTTTGGAAGGCATTCGGCTTACTCAACTAGCGTCCAGCCACATCGGCTCAGGTACAGTGTGCAGGGCATGGCACCGAGCCACATTGACAAAGACATTACTGCAAATTACGAGATGGAGAACTTGGAGCTCGCATCCGGAGGCTTTGGCAAAGTATTCCGAGCCACTGACCGGAAGCATCCGGAGCGGCGGGTGGCCATCAAGTCAATGCTACTTTCCAACGCACGCCGTCGAGAGATGTCTGAGAACGAGGTCAAGATCATGCCGCTCGCTTTAACGAGGCGGCAGATGACCTTTACGTGGTGTGGGGGAAGCACTTGCACACACACACACACAGTCATTGGCTTCGTCAATCTATCTATATCGCTTTGTCTACCTCATTACCTTGAGACTTGTCTTGGTTGCATCTCGATATAGCTATAGCGAAGAGATTGGCGTGCGTGTTTGCGTGCCTGTGTTCGTGTCGCTGCGTGGTAACAAGAAGGGATATACTTTTGGACTCTGAGATCGCAGAGCAGTGCCGGTAAAACCGAAAAGCTGAGCTGCTTACCATGCTTTACCACACGATATCGCACAGCCATGTGCCAGCCAGCAATCTGGCCAGGCTTGGAGCCCAGCAAGCACAAACTGGAAAGCGCGCATGCATTTCGCATGCTGGTCGAAGTTGACGGGCTCGCTCGCGAAAGAGCACGGAACCCTCGCATCACAAAGACACCATGAAACGGAAAGTGCTGGATGGCGGAGACAAGTGACAAGAGTGTGTTGCGCCCCTGCTTGGACCATGGGGAAGAAGAACTTGCATAAGACGAAGTGGAGAGAGGCAGACGAGCTTTCCCTTCACTGTGCCCGAGGAGTAGGTGAGACAGACAGAGACAGACAGACAGACAGACAGCTCAGGAAGAGCTTGGACCATCCGAATATCTGCAAACTTTTCGAGACGTACGAGAGGGCTGGGCTTGCTTACTATGTCATGGAGCTTTGCGAGGGCAAGGCCTGGACACTGGAACGGAATGACAGAATGACTGAAATTTCATGGTCGCAGATAGGAGGAGTTTCGGAAAGTCGTGTCGTACCAAGTTGTGCCTGAAGCTTGGAGCCGCGAAGTGGCCAGTCTCGCATTGCAGTCATGAGTACTGTCATGTGGGTCAAGCTGGGCAGTACTTAAGAGCAGCAGTCGAGTCCCTTGTGATGATGGTCGCAGATAGGGTAAGAATCCCATGCACCTGAAGACCACGCTGAAAACGTATCCAGGATCTGTTTGACCATCTCTTCAATGTCGACTCGCCGCGGCTAGACGAACCGACGGCTGCAGTGGTCATGCGACAGCTGGCCAGTGCGTTACAGTATGCGCACGACAAGGGCATTGCCCACCGTGACACACAGTCGCATTGAATTTCGGGTTTAGAGCTCTAGCATGCCACAAGCTAGCACGTCTTGGCAGTTCGCGTCGCGCCTGTTCACTAAGAAAGGTATAGTCAAAAGAAAGAGAGAGCCCAGGACATCAAGCCTGAGAACATCATGTTCACATCCGAGGCTCTGCTGTTGTTGATAAGACGGACCTGCCAGTTTTTCAGCAGAAGTTACATAGGACGAGGGCAGGTGCACCTTGCAGCCCCTCTTTAAAAAGTCGCTTTTTTGACTTGGTGGCGGCGAGCACTGTTCAGGATCCCAACTGCACGGACATCAAGGCGCCGGCGCGTGTAGCAAGCAGAGCGGCATAGCCTGTCTTTGCCAGCAGACTTGGCAGAGTTCTTGCCAACCAGCAACCAGCCCGAAGCTTCGATTGCGCCCGAAGCCCTACAGTGACCCACCAAGACTCCAGAGCAAGAAGGAAGGGAGTATCGAATCAGCATCTGCAGGTCATTGATTGGGGTGTCGGCCACGACTTCGGTGAGCGGCGCATGCGGCACTTTGCTGGAACGCCCAGGTACTGTGCACCGGAGGCTCGTGCGCGTAATGCTGGTACATGCTACTACTAATTATAGGCACCCGCTGCAAGACACGATATCCTCGCATATCCTGGCACCCTGGCTCGTTCTCAGGTCCTTAGCCACCTGTATTGCCCGGCAGGTGATGCAATCCGAAAGCTTCTTGAGACGGCTTTCATCCTACACGGCTGCCTGTGACATGCAACTCTGCCGCATCACGATGTTTGGCAACAGCCTTGGCACCCTTCAGTCCAGAAATTGATTACAGGATAGACTACGAGCTCTGGAGCTTGTGCTTCGCGTTTCCGACGCAGGTGGAGCGTTGGTGTTGTCCTTTACGCCATGCTTTCTGGTCGCTTGCCATTCAGCGGAAAGCAAAAAGAGCTGCTCAAGAAGATGAAGAAGGAGCCCTTCCAGCAGCCACACACTGTCACTAGGTTTCTTGCATTTCTTTCCTTTAATAATGTTCTGAATCTGAGGAGCAATATTCGATGGCAGGGAAAGTCTGGCAGTCGAGATCGCAAGACGTCAAGGATTTGATTCAGGGCCTGTTGAAGGCCGACCCCAACATGCGATTTTCCCCCAAAGACGCTCGGTGGCTCCGGCTTTGACACGCTGCTTGTTCACATGCCCGAAGAGATGGGCGACCTTGCCATAGCCCTTGACATCACAGCCAGGAGCACATGCAAAGCACAACACCGCTGCCTTCAAGCACATCTTTCGTGGGGATAGCTTTAGGCTGCTTGTGACCTGCCTAAGAGTCTGGTGACCACCACAAACCTTTTGATATGTTTTGGACAGCTGGTGGGCACAAGCGAGCTGCGAACTAGCTGGCCAGTTTGAGGGCTGGGGTGACGAGAAGCAAGCCCTGCTGTACCGTCAAAAAGCGTCCCGAAGTCCCCCACTAGCACAGCAGACGCGGCTAACATGTTCCTTGCAGCTTTTCTAAGTGACGCAAATGCAAAGAAGGAGGACCGCAGAGATCAGTCTGACAAATACAGCGCCTCTGGGCTCAGGACATCCTCCAGCACCCCTGGATTACGAACAGTGAGAGGCGAGGCCGCGTCTAGGCCGATCTGACCGGAGAAATCCAGAGCCCAATCGTTCCAGGCATTCCGAGATGCCTGCAGCCGTGGCGCAGCAAGTTCTTGACAACATGAAGAACTTCAGCAATCTTGGCCATTTCTACTCCATTTGTGTGGCTGCGGTGGTTCGCCAGCTTGGCTCCAAGCACTTGAATGAGGTGCCGAGCTCAGGGTCGGGACGCAGATTCTGTCGGCTGAAGTGCATCGCCATGCGTGAGACAGGTGCACCGCATGTTCTGCAGCTTAGACCGGGATGGAAATGGTGTGCTGTCTGTGGAAGAGGCAGGGGCGACGTTCTGTTCTGCATGCACATGGCATCAGCGACACTTGAGGTCCGCTGTAAGCCTGCCTTTAGCACCAGGCCACTAGGCTTTTGCTACTTTGGCTTCGACCCTCCACAGGTCCAGCAGGGCTTCTGCAACCTTTGCCACGGAGACTCTCCTGAGATGCACCCGGGCCACATGTGGTTGGCGCACATGCAATTGGCAGTCCCGGCACAAAAGCACATGTCAAGGAGAATCACCTTCGCGTGTCCCCCTGGAAACTCGCAGATGCAAGGCAAGATTTGCTGAAGACCGTGCAGATGCTCGACAAGGATGGTTCAGGCACGTTCGTCCTTTCCCGTCTCTCGCAACGGGCTCTTGCTCGCACAGGGGTCTCTGCCTGCCCCCGCATGACAAATTGATGGAGAGGGTCTTTCAAAAGTCCAACGGGTTGGCTCACGTTCTCGACCATATGCGCTGCCATGCTTAACACTGGGATCCTGCAGTCGCTCAGCTCGCCGTTGCTTCACTCCTGGTCTTGTGTCGCAAGGCAGCATTGACTACAACGAGTTCTGCGCGGCTGCGGTTGGCGAGCGAATCTTCCAGGAGGATGCGCATACAAGCTCCGAGCCAACCGATGTTGCCGCAACCACCGGCTGCTCCCGACCAGAGCTTCCTGTTCTGCTCACCCGCGTGAATTGATTCAGAGGAGTCGTGGCTGTGGGCTGCTTTCCGTTCCTTCGACACACTGAAGGATGGCCAGCTATCATTCGAGGCTTCTCGCCTGCAAAAGTTTTCGGTACCGTCGCCTGCGTCACACTCTTAAAAGACGTGGCTCTTGCTCCGCAGTCAGTCTTGGTGAAAGGCTGTAGTCACGGCATGCTTATGACTCCGAGGAGATTAAAGCCATCTTCCGGGGTAGCGACGTGAGCCGTGTATGGCATGAAGACGTCTTGGATGCAGCTGCCAGGGAGGCATGCGTGGAGCAGTAGGGCACGAAGTGACGAAGGTTGCTGCTGTGGAAAAGTTCTGTGAAATGCAGGCTCTGAAGCGCTTCGATGTCACCGGTGACGGCCCCTTTGCCTCGAGACGGCGTAGAATCAGAGAATCTCGTTGGAAGCTTCTCATTACTTTGCTGCCCAGGCGCCATCGATTTCGAGGAGTTCAGCCGCTTGCACTGCTGAGGGTAGGCCCGCCTCCAGGTTCAGCCACCTCTAGTACTGGTACAACCGGAAGCCGGAATTTGCTCTTGCATGGTCAGTTTGCATTGCTTGACAGGCCGGTCCGATTCAGTTCCCACGCAGATGACTAAGGCCAGCTGATGCGCCACCACACGGCAGCCAAGAAGTTGGCCGAAGCCGAAAAGCTCCGCGTTTTGGCTGCCACTGAGGGGCTGAAGCTGACCAAGAGTGGAGATTCGCGAGTCAGGCCAGGGCTGGTCTTCCGAAGAGCATGACGCGACCCTTGGCGACGCAAACTTCGGAGCATTGCAAAGTTGCTGCCCGGTCGGCTGCGGATTGAGGCAAGCCTCCTTGGACAAACTGGAATTGCAGCTGCATGAAATGCATCCCAGCAGCATCGAGTCAGAAATTTCCGGGCTGCATGTCGGGCCCCGATGCTGAGTCTTGTGCACCCGGCAGACCGACCACACGTGCAAACAGGAAGACACGTGACCCCTACAACATTGCTGCTTGGATGAAAGCAGCCTGCTTTGACAGGGAACTTTGGCTTTGTAACCCTTTGTGCCTGTTGCCCAAGGTCAACCAGATGCAGGAGGCAACAAGACTTGTGAGCTTTACCGAAAGCTGTCCGTTCCCCAAGTGTTGCAGCGTCCTCTGGACGAGCAGGCCCATCACGATCATCTTGGTCGCGGGCTATTCCATAAGGTTGCCATACTTTGCAAAGCAAGACCACCAGCAACGCCCCAGGTGCCGGATCTGCAATTAGCAGTTGGCTATATTATATACCTCTTTCAAGTCACGTCTCGGCAAGCTTGACGTTTATTTTGGAAGCGATCTTTCCAAGCACGCAAATGCATGCTGGTCCTAGCTCCTGACACCGTATATTGAAGGGCTCCAGCCAGGTCCCACTGCTGAGCTTCCGTTGCTTGTTGTTGAGAAAGGCAGAGACGGGAGCTGAGGTGCCAGATCAAGCAAAGCACGGCAATGCTTGATCCTTTAAGCTGGCTTGCTCTGCAGCCTGCTTCGAACGTGCATGTCAACTAGCGGAGTTTTTACTGCTGGGTTTGCGTAGGGCAGACTACAAACGTCTGCCATGGACACTGGGGCCACTTGTGCAGAGGCTTTTCCTTAGTGCTTCTGCTCAATTTGATGGCCTGCTCCGAATACAGAATACACATATTGCTACAATACGAATGATTACGAAACCCAGTTTGACACGAATGCGAACAGCAGCATAAGAACAGCTGAAAAGCTTAATTTTGAAAGCAGCATACTAATGAACCGTGCGCTGGAACTGCAAGGTCGGTTCCTCGGTGCAGCCCTAAGCGGCCCTCTTCGTAGTTCTCGTAGGAGACACGAAGAGCTTCGTAGAACCTGCACATGGCTTTGTCTCTCGTGGCAAAATGTCAAGCTGTTTCGGCCTTTCGATGCTTCGCTTGCGCACGCTCTCCAGCCTGATGTGGTTAGGGTTTAGGGTTTAGGGCCTTTCGGGCGGGATGCAGGGATGTGCGCAGGTCCAAGGAGCAAGGCTTCGCCAGATAAATGGTTCGCTCGCAAGGCTTCAGTCCGCAGATGCTGTGCAGTGCGTTTGCCGCAGTCGAAAGGGTCTCGTTGTGCATCCGGATGCAGCTGGCCAAGCATCATGCACCTCGGATAATCTGATAGTTTGGCAGATCGGCAGTGGGGCCTAGGCTTAGGCCTAGGCTTGATCGCCGCTTCAATTGAAGCAGGCAGCTCTCTCCACCAAGGAGCTTCGGCAATGCCCGGCGCTACATGACCTTGGAGCGCCGTGCCTACCTCGACGGCTCTGACCTAGGTCGCTTGGCCGGCTCTTAAGACTCCGGATGTTGCGGAGCGTGTCGGTCAAGCGCAATTCTGGCTTTGACCTTGCAGGCCAACGGGCTCGTCCTGTCGAGCTGCAGCCTCAGAATTTGGATTATCTGGACCACACACACCGTCCCTTTCTGTGAACTGCCCGCTCTCCGAAGGACGACCTCACTGCAGCCAGAAGACTGTGCCGATGCGCGTGCAGCAGCTGATGCCCAGAAGAGGTCGCGGAGAAAAACTGCCAATCGCTGCTCCGGATGCCTCTGGCCAGGCGTGCAGCCGCACCGAAGAAGGCAGCGGAGGCCTTCCAAGGAGCCTTCGGCGCCACTTCCGGTTCAGCCGCTTGACTCGGAACGAATAGTGGGAGTAATATATCATATATAAACTGTATATACATAGATATATATATATATATATATGACATATGATATATTACTCCCATTATTTCTACAATTGAAGAGATTTGAAAAGGAAAGGCTTGGAGCCACAGTCAGGTCGGACCCCAAAGTGAGGCTCCCGGCTTGCCTGAAAGGACGCTCGGACGAAAGAAGCGGGCAAGTGTCCATGGTTTGTCCATTTTCTTCGGCTGATAGATCTTTGAAACTTGACATTTCAGGCGGCTCCGGCGCTCTCCTCGACCTAAAGACGAGTCTGCTGCCGGCTTCTGCCGGCCATCATCACATCCCCTGCCGGGAGGCTATGCTCGGTAGAGCTCTCCGACACATACGATGCGTTCACACGGTGGCATTTTACATGATTCGTCTGGCCTGCTTTTTTTCAAAGTGATGGATCCACACATGGTGTCGGCTTATATCAGCGGCTACCGCCCAGTGCCATATTCTAGATCTTTGCTCATCCCTCATCCCTCGTCCCTCACCATGGCGCAGGACAAGTATCGGATATCGATGCGCCTTGGCTGAGATGGCCTCGCTTGGACCATTCTGGTGAGCCATGACAACTCTGTCTCGTGTCTCAGAGTGTCTCACTCTGCTGTTGCGAAATGTTCAATAGGTCTCGGTGATCACAACTAAACTGGTCGTACAGGCATCATTGAAGCCTTTGTCAATTCAGTTTCCGCTCATCAGGGTCGCGGTCACCGCCGGACGCTGGCGAAGGCCAAGAGACGCTCGGCCACGGTCCTCGCTATCCTCACTCTCTTCACTCGTGACTACAAGGTTCTTTCACAAGCCATATAACACTACATGAAGCCAAGGCAAGCCAGAGAAGATGCTCAAGCGTCACGATCGTCACAATGATGCAACTCAGCTGGAGACTCCTTGTAGTGCGAGGGCATCTTGTTCAGTCCTAGTCGCATGTCTTTTCAGGTGAAAATTAGCCGTGAACAGGCGCAAGGCGACTTCCAAGGTCGGCTTGTGCCAGGAGAGAGCTTGAGGCTCGAGGGTTCTCAGCACATCGACTTCGGGAGGCAGGGCCTTCTTTGACCAAATCGTGCAAGCGGAGCACTACGCCAATCTGATTGGCAGAATCTTGGCTGGCCCTCATCAGATTTGGCAGAACTCAAGGTCGACGAGTTTCCGATGCTCATGTGCCCTTCCAGGATCAGAGAAAATGGCGAGCCTCTCCGAACAGCTGATGTTGCCTGGCCGCGATCACCTGGAATGAGCCAACCTACAACTGAGACGATCAGACACGTTTTGCTCTCGCGATTCGGCGAGTTTCGCGCATCATTTACTTATATTGGAAGGGCCGTGCCCCTCCCTAGCATCTTGCATGCTCAGGTCGGTGCCAGAGGACGATGACTTCCCGGACGAGACGTTGGGACTATGTGGGATGAAAGTATTGTTGTTGATTGTAAAGTCCAGACGCTATCTTCGAAGCTAGAACCCCGGGCGCATGAAGATGTTGAATCATGCTTTAATATATCTAAGGAGGATTCCGAGAAGCGAGCCGGACCATCTCACAGTCGAAGCAAGGGACCAGGCAATCAGAGCTAGAGCTGCACGGCTACTCCGGCAGTGCAAAGCTGTGTTTATGCGGTGCCTGTAGCCACTGACAGGCACCGCTGCCCACGTTGCTCGGCTCTCCACGTGGACCGCAGCAAGAAGAAGACAAGGACCACATTGTGCAGTTTCAGATATGTTTTGCCTGATTCTACCACCTTGCAGATTGTGAGCAGAGAGCCTTGTGCCCTGAGGGGAATGCGCAGCCGTCGTTCGACCCACGCTACTCCTCTTCCAGATCGCTGGCGGGAAAGTGCAGATCGTTGAAGGCGGCACATATTCGGATGAACCTACTCTTATCACGGGTCCCTCTGCATGCTGCGAGTTCGATCATTTCGCAAAGCCCAGCTGCTGGAGGCATCCATCTCGAACATTGCACAGGAGGGGCCGGGAAGGGTGGGCAGCTGGGAAGCGACACAGGCAAGTAACCCGCAGCTGTTGAGGATTGGCACTGTCGTGCTCAGGGCTCACCACATGCCTGTTCTTGGACCTGGAGCATGAACGAAGGAAGCAGATCCCCCACACGTCCCAGCAGAAGAGGAGTCCACCTCCTTCGGGCGACTCCTTCGCGAGGCCCAGTCAGCTCTCGAGGCCGCTGTAGCAGATTGGTGGAGGGGTTGCAGAGCGCAGCAGCCCCAGATGCGACAACCACACTTCTGCTCACATCATGCTTGGGTCGAGAGGCTATCGCAACAGAGGTGGGCTGTGACGAAGCCACCCATGCCAACTGGATTTGGCATGATGGCATGAAAGTGGGATCGTCAAGTTCGGGTTCCTGTTGCGAAACGACGTAAGAAGCACACGACGGCAAGCCCCTCCGACCTCCGCGTGCGAGAGGCCAGAAACAGGCAAAAAAGACGCAATGTCCAGAGGAACCTGAGGTGACTGAAAGAAGCCGCGCTACACTGAAAAAACATCTGCAGAGTGGCCGATGCATGCCACTCTGCATCTTTCATGGCCAGGCTGCGGGCTCCACCTCTCAGTCCCAGGTCATGGCCAGGACCAGGTCGGATTGCTCGACCTGTTAAAGTCTACGTCTCACCTTCGCTTGGATGTGCTTTGCGATATATCTTGTTTCGGCTTTTCTGGGTGACCCGTGGGAGGCTTTTGCATCAGCAGCTGGACCACCTGGAAGCTAAGCTGCTCGGCATCAGACTTTAAGCCAATCATTCGGATTCAGAGTGAGGTTATACTCTCGTGACTTTTTGTTTGATAGGTCAAGGAGTCAGAACTCAGAGCCTTCAGGACCGGCTGCCTTTAAACTTCTTCCAGCTTGTAAACCTGAGCTCCCCGCTTGAGACCGGGGTGCTTACCATCCTTGGCAGCAGAATGCTGAGGACACGGTCTCTCACTGCAGCAGCCCAGATCGACCAGCGACCAGGTCGGACTCTCAACAAATAGCCATCGTTGATGGCAGCTTCCCTCTTCGAGCCCTTAGATGGCTTAGACTGGTGAAGCACGAGGCGAACCGGCAGCGACACCGAGAACTGCACCGGCGGAAGAGCTCGAAAGCAAGGCGCATTGGGACTAAGCTCCCGAATGCATGTGAGTCTGAAGAAATCAGGCTTGGAAGCTGCAGCGACGCGACCGTTTTGACTTGATCAAAAGCAGCTTGGCAAGCCGGTTAATCAATAGCTTCTGCACTCAGACCGGTGTCCCTCACTTTCCTGCCTTACCGCTGGCGCTTCGTCATTGCAGCCGCAGTGTTGGGCTCACTCCTCTTATGTGCTCGTCCAGTACAGATGCACACTGAGGAGGCACCGGCTGGCGTACGATGCCAAGCACCTCGCAGGTGTGAGTCGTTGCCAGCGCGGCTTTATGAAGCCTGCGCCCTCGTAAGGTCCAGGACGAATTCCATGTCGTTTGCTAGGAACTCTAGGGGTCATAAGATGAAACAGAGAAGTGGGGTTGGACAGATGCGCAAAGCTTCAGAGTCTCCCTTCGTGGTGTTGCTTTCCGTTCGGTTTCCTGGTGCAGCCAAACGAAGTGATTAGAGCCTTGCTGTCCAAAGACGGGACGGGCCATGAAGGCAAACTTGCTGTGCGAGTCGTGGCAAAGGCCACGATGCATAGGGACAGGAAGTGGAATCCTCCACTGCAGTGTTGACAAATGTTGTTTGGACGCATATATTAATGTTAAGTGCCCCTCCGGGATCACGAACTCTTAGGACTCTAGGAAGATCCTGCATTGTGTACTCCCATGGCCTTTCCGGAGGCTTGGCATACTCGGATAATTCGAGACCTCGCTGCGTGCAGCAGATAAGCGAAGGCAAAGCCCTGTGTTCTGATATGCTGGAAAGATGTCAGCGTTGAGCCCGGAAGTGCCTCTGAGAAAATGATGCTTTCCGCACCTCGTACGGCTCGTATGGCCAGGAAAGTCAAACCACTCCTTTCAATGCAGGTTGCCTCTCGAGCTCAGAAGACCCAGCAGGCATGGCCCCCAGCAGCCGGACGTGTGGTTTGCCTGTACGTGAAGCGCAGCCAGAGAGTGTCGCCGTGCCTTCCAGCGATGGGCTCACTGTACGAGTTGGCACTAGCGGACTCGACTAGACCAGGAATCCGTTGGAATTAAAAACTAGTATCGGAAGCGGCACTCTCAGGGACAGAGCCGCAAGAGTTGAGTGTTGCGGCTTTGCAGCGCAAGCTTTCAGGCTATTAATAATTTGCATTGCATGGCATTGGGTCAACTTTCTTTCGCTCCTGTCATGTTGCTTCGCGGGCTGTTTTTTCTGCTATGGCAGCTGCAGCGGCTGGTGCTGATGCTAAACCTGGCGGCAGCAGTATGTGTCCTGTCAAACTTTGTCGCAGCCCGCTGGCATTCTCGTGGACGTGTACGGCAGTGTATGGGCTCCTTCAAGCCTGGGCTTGACGCAGATTAAACTCAGGACATGGATGCCATGGTGCTTGCGATACAGTGCCTTGGAAGAAACGAGCATCCCTGAAGTCTTGGCGCATGCGTAGCAGGAACTTCGAAGAACCGAGTCCTATACCTGTGGATATCAGAGACACGCGTGCTGGTGAACTGACCTGCTGAGTCCTGCTCGCTTGAGGCAGCACCCGGATCGCCTGCAACAGGCTTGCGTAGCCTCCGCTGCGGTGTTTTCATGCACCTCATCGGCACTTCCGGCTAAGCTCGGGCATGCTCGGGCAGCCTCATCCAGGTGTGCACGTGCAATCCGCTACAGTGAAGAAAAAGATAGAAAAAGTACGTAACTGCTTGCAGAGGTCAGCCTCGTGTAGCACCAGCCAGATCAATTCCTTGCCGGCACCTGGAAACCCTTTTCTGCACACCGCCAAGCAGGAAGCTAGCTGTGCCAAAGATGGACGGAGAGAGCTGAATAGAGACTCTATTTCTAATTCTGCATGTCGCCCGAAACCTTTCTGTTTCTACCAAAAGATCAATGTCAAGACATTGAGAGGCTTGTTTGACTTTTGGGTTCTTGCCAGACGACAGGCTGCTTCTGTGCCACTTTGCTGGAAGATAGCAGCACACAGGCCGGGATCTCGGCACACCCTGCGCGAGCTCACACCGAGTGCAGCTGCGTGCATCGTGGGAGTCGGGCTACAAGCCGCAAGACTCTACTCTACCACTGAGCTTGGTGTTGCATATTTGACAGCTGCAAAATTACCTGTGGAACTGCCAGTCTAGCCCGATGGATTTCTGTGTTTCTGTCAGTGGCATCAAGACTCAGGCCCCGGACCCCATCCTCTCAATCACGGCGCCTCGCCTGCAAAGAAACTGCTCCTTCTTATGTCTACAGCTCTGCACCCCACCCGAGTACAAGCGAAGAATGGCCGTTGTCGGATGGGTTTACCTGAGCTGGGTCAATTTCGCGTCAGAGTGGCAGGCGTGCGGAAGACCGAAGCCATTCAGAGAAACCGTTGCACCCAATAAACTGTGCCAGCATAAACCGCGAATTGTAGAAGGTTCCTAGCAGTCCATGGCAGTCCATCTCTTGATGCTCTTTGACTTTGATGTTCTTTTCGTGGTGCCGACCTGAACCTAAACTGCACAAACTTGTAGTAAATCAACCGGCAGTGACCGAGTTGCGAGAGAGTACTGCCGCCCCATGAGCCCCAATTGCCAATCACACTATGGCAGGAGCAGGAATTCGGAGGCGGAATCGCATGATGTGCGACTATGGTCAGAGATAGGGACGGCAAAAAACTCCACTCTGGCGGTGGCACGACTTCGGAAAGTTCCAGAGCCGCTTGGAATGCCGGGCTTAGGAGACCGAACAAGGTCGAACAGCGTGGCCCTGCCAGGACTTAAGTGACTTCGGCGGAAGTGAAGGCCAAAATGATCCAACAAAAATGAAGAATAGCACGGGGCTCGGGATTATGGCAGGAGCGGGATGTCCAACCTAATGTGCACGGCACTGAGGCGGCAGCGCGATTCGTCAAGTTAGTTCGGCAGCATAACGAATTCGAAATCGGCCTTTTGGTCGAAGGCGAACGTCGCGGAACCGTCGGTGTGTCCTTCACACTTAAGCGAACCCGGCAGTCATACTGTACTTTTCTGATTGGGGAAATGATGAGAATAGCATACGACAATGGTAGTACGGCCTGCGGTGTAGTCGCAGGGTGCAATGACCACCTGGATCCTTTTCCGCGCACTGCGACTTGGCTTGAGCTGTGCTCCGAGCCGAGCTGTGACAATTTGTGGCAGCCGGCAACTCTCAGAGCTTGGATTTCTGAGATTTTCTCTGAGGCATACGGCAGCTGCCTTGAAGCGCGCAGGCAGAGACTTAGCATCTGAGGCCAGCCTGCAAGCGAAATCAGCCTGGCTTTCCTCTCTGCGTGTGGGACTCGTGCACTCACTCCCAAGCTCGGTCATGCATGCGGCATGCGGACACTTTCGCACTCACTCTCACACCAAAACCCAACTCTCGCTTGCATAATGGCAAATATACAGCACCTGAGTCCGTGGGAGAGAGCGAGAGAGATTGACGAAAGCAGTGATTCAAGATGATTGCGATATGTTCTGATGGTAGCGATTGTGGTCATGATCATGATGATGATGATGATGATGCTGATGTTGATGCTGATGATGTGGTATCGGCGATGAGCCTGCTGCTGCCGAAGAGGACACATAGAGTCGTTGCACCTTTACCGGTTGGAAACATAGCAGGCCGACGATAATGACAGCAAGCATGCGTGGTGACTAGCAGTTAGTCCTTTGAAAACTCTGGAGTACGTTCGCACACATCTGGCAGACTCGGACGAGCATGAACGAGACATGACAACAGTCATGTTGCGTATCATGATCTGATGACTCTTCTGCAGCTCCTGATTTTGGGTTGCTGGTAACGGAGGCGAACTGAATGGTCATAGCCTGCAAAAGCAGACATGGCGACAGAACTTCGGCCACCTCTCGACAGCTCTCGAGACGACGGGTGCTGATGATGAAATTGATGATGATGATGGTGGTGATGATGCTGATGATGATAATGATGCTGCTGCTGATGATGACGATGAGGAGGAGGATGATGATGATGATGAGCATGATCACAGTGATGGTGGTGCTGGTGCGGGTGTCGATAATGTGGATTGGGACGATAGCGATGACGACGTTGTTTGTGGGAGACTGCGACGTTGATGTTGACGCAGCTTGGCCTGGCTTGCCCCTCAAGTGAGATGTATGGTGCCGCAGGCAAAGGAAACTCAGAGGCTGAGAGACAAGATGTCTCTACAAGATGGACCCGAGCAGGCCGGTGTGTCGTTATGCTGAATTGATCATGCCCGGTGCTTGGGGTTTGCCTGGGATGCTGCATGCAGCTGATCCTCGCACTGCAGGCTGAGAAACTGCGGGGGGAGCTTGAGAAGTGGAAGCGAGAAGCGGAGACGCTGAGGACGCAGGTCACCGCAGTCACGGAAGCCCTTGGAATCCTGTCAGGTTTGATGGTTCGCCATGCCAGATGGACATGACATGCTCGGACTCCGCAGCATGTCTTATTCTGTGCAAACGGTGAGACCCAACAAATCCGAATCCCCAACTCGAAGGCAAGTGCATCCCCATCACTGCACATCTGCCTGCAGGTTGAGGCCATACACAAGCAGGCCGCAAATCAAGCAGCAGAGCAACGCGGCACAGCCTAGCCATGTGTACCCAGTACCGTTTGGTACAGGATATCGCCGTTTTTGGTTACTGGTTTTGTATGTTTTCTTGCCGGTAGCGATGCTAAGCAAGCATTACACCGCAGTAGGTGCCCAGTCTTGCATCCTGCCCTCATGTTGCCTTCTCAACCAGTCGCGCTTGCCGGTAAAATCCCCGCCCGAGCTTGTGCGGGCTGGAGACCGATTTCCAAGAAATGCTCGCTTCAACAATGCTGGAAAGGTATTTATTGTATCTTGAACAAAGAGGTGTCTTTTCAGAGGTCTTTGCAGCGGGCAGGGCAGCACACGGTTCCAGACAGCGATGGTCCATGGTGGAACAAGACAACAGACACCTGCATAAGTTCTGGTATCAAGCCGTCTCCTCGTTTGTCCCAGACACCACATCTCTTGCCAAGCGCGAGTCGTAGTGTGTTGTTGCCGGACATGGGAATCTCGTCAAGCATGAGGTATATGCGGCTCGACACGGAGAACAGGCCCGACATGGCCCGACAAGATCCCTTGCATCCAGAACGCCTTCAATATAATAGTAGAGTACATGCCGACATGTTAGGATCTGGTTGTTTGCGCTGAGCTTCAAAACCCATGACCGAAGATATTGGCCCAAAGCGAGGCTCTCTGGGTAGGGAGCAGTGATGGCTGAAGCGATGCCCGAAACAAACATCAGCGGGGCATCAGCGGCGGAGCCTGAAAAGGCTCCACCTGTCGAGACGAAGAGGCACCGGATCGGTAAGTTTCGACATCCAAACCAGGGGCCAAAGATAAATCGAAACATGACGGTGGATCCTGGCTGGCGACTGGGCCGAAGAGAGGATGATAAAAAGACTTGCTGTTGGGCTTAAGAGGAAGTCCGTCCGGATGTTGACAAGCCAGTCGGCTTTGCAAAACGATGAGAGTAAACAAAGAAACGATAACGATGATTTTGCTGTGAAGCGATAAGGGCTATGAAAGTAAAAATCTAAAAGTGACAACATAGGAAGCTTTAAGCAGAAGTTTTTTATGCTCTGTCATGTCCGAGCTCGAATCTCCTTCCGACCATACAGACAATGCCCGGCATCCGAGCCATGAGAGACTACCATAGTCTCGATGCCAGACTATCAGAGTCCTTGGGGCACACCCTCTCTTGGGTTACTAGCCTTAGGATCTTCTCGTGAACAATGCAGGCCTGACGAGACGATAAGTACGGCCAGTATCGAGGGCGCGCAGGCCAGGTTGCAAAGTCGGCAAGCAAGTCGCGCATGCTAAATCCTGAACCCTAAACCCTGTTCAGGGCATCTTCATAGCGGAGATGGAGCCCGGATGCCCCTCCTGGCCCTCCGGGCCCTCGGCCGCACAGGAGAGAGGCATCGCCGAGCAAGCCGAGGCCGAGGCCTGCGTTCTTCTCCAGAATGCATGGAGAGCACCTGTTCAACTATCTAAAAAGCTATCTATCTATCTATCTATCTATCTATCTATCTATCTAATATCTATCGTAGGTACATACATATGCTGAAATTGAAAGGTCCCAGAGGAGGAACTCGTTGAGATCTAATCTACACCGAGGGTAGGTCATACGGGGTGCGTCCATACGTATACATATATACATACATTCAGATTCATACATACAAGTATATATGGAGAGAGGAATTCATGCGTTTCTATGGTCTCGCGTCGCCGCGTCAGTTCGCCCCCACCCCCACCCCACCCCTCCCCACGGTACCCTCCCACAGCAGCCAAGCCAGGCC